TTCCATGTGATGTAGCTAGACAGCAATGTTTATGGCCATAGTACCTGAATGTCAGAACAGACAAGTTTTGTTTCCCTCCAGAAACCATGGGTTGATACTACTCAATTTTTTTGAGAAGTACAACACAAGAATCTTTTCCCAGGATGCCTCTAAATCTTAAAGCTTCTCTGAAAGTGGTCCAATATGGGTGTCTCTGAAAATATTTGAAATACTGGTGGTTTAGCTTCCAGTATGACAACGCATAAGTCATGCTCTGCTATAGATGCATGGTAATTGAAAAGCTATAATGCCTAACGTAATGCATAAGGAGCTCTGGTGGCTTAGTCAGAAAGAATTATGCTGCTGAGGCAAAGGTACCTGGTTTGAATCCACAGGAGAAGAATGAACAGTCTCCTCCTTTGCAGTTTACTGTCTCTGAAAACCTGCCAATTGGTTTAATTTGGGGTTTGGGGGGGCTGTTTTGTTGTTGTTTGTTTGTTTGTTTGTTTGTTTTGCAGGCCATGGGATATTCAGGGCTCTTTTCAAACACCACAACTCAAAGATATCACTTTTTCTTCTGTCGTCCTTATTCATTGTCCAGCTCTCAGCAGTATAGCAAGTGTTTGGAAAAACCATGGCCTGAATCAGTCACCTTAGTCTTCAAATTGACATCATTGCTCTTCAAGTTCTTGGAGAGCTCTCTCACAGTGGTTTTTCCCAAAGCAATACTTAATATCTCCTGACTACTCTGACCGTAGAAATAGCTAAAAAAGAAGACAACTGAATTTAGCAGAGCAAACAGCAGCATACACAGCATTGCAGTAATTTTATTTGTTTTAATAAGTAACTTAAACATATTGGACAGTATATCTTATAATGTGTTTAGTGTATTTTGAAAGATATTATGTAAATATGAAATATTATACCAAGAAGAACTTAAAAGAAAAAAAGAAAGTGAATAAAGACAAAGATGTTGAACTATGTACACTTCTCAGATAAAGATGTAAAATCTTTGGAAGTTGTGACATAGTCAGTCCTGTTAGATTTGTGGGTATGAGTATTGTTCTCATTCCATGCTCCTACTTCACAATTTATCATCTTTATGTTCATGTGGCATGTCTATTTTCAATATCTTGTAAATTTCTCCCCTTCTAGAGCGTTTTCAGCTGGAATTTCACATGCTTCAAATGAGCTCAGAAACAAATTCTTTTCTGGACATTGAATCTAATCTACTCAGCCATTTCTGAGTTACCCAAGCATAAGCAAACGCTATTTAGGAAATTTGTCAAGATCCACTTTTTTTATATGCTCAGATTTAATTCAAAATGATTTAAATTTAAACCCCCAGAGCTGTCATGCACATATTTTCTCAGAAAAGAAACATTCTTTGCTGTGAAATATAATTGGTTGAGGTTTATCCTCTACTTTCTGTATATGCAAAGTGTGGTTATAAAGAAAGCCACTCAAATCTTGGAAAATTCTTTGGAATCACAGACTTTCCATGCATGTTGTATTTAAAAGAATACTTACTTTCCCCCTGCACTTCCACCCTCAAAATCCATCCATTTTCTAGAATTTGAGATATTTGAGGATAACAATTTCTGTCTGATTGTATTGTCAGATAACAGTGAATTTTTATCTTATAAATAATTAGAAAAATTATTTTTAAACTATTTAATAATGTTGTTTATTTGTTTTTAAAAACTTCATCCTTGGTTCTTATCCTATCATAGATAGGAGGTTGTGTGTTGCTAGGGAGCTCTAGTGGGCTAGTGGTAAGGAGTTGCCCTGCCAACCTAAAGGTGGTGGTGGTGGTGGTTGTTGTTGTTATGTGCCATCGAGTCACCTGCACTCATAGCGACACTATGTACAACAGCCCTAAACTCTGCCCTATCCTGTGCCAATCTCACCATCTCCAACACACCCACCCTGATTACCCTAGTCACTGAATAAAAAATATGGAACGCTTCACAAATTTGCAATCTAAAGGTAGCTAGTTCAAATCCACTAGCTGTTCCATCAGAGAAAGGTGAGCAATCTTCTACCATGCAATTTAGTGCTTCTGAAACCTTTTGGAGGGTCAGCTACAAGCCAGTTCTGACTTGATGGTACATAAAAACAAGAAGCAAGTATTAAAAAAAAGTATATTGGGAGCTCTGGTGACCTAGTGGGTAAGGAGTTGTGCTGTCAACTCAAATGCAAAGAGTTTGAATCTACCAGATGATCTATGGGAGAAAAATGACAATCCCTTGTGTGTTTTACAACCTCTGAAAACCCACCAGAGGCTCAACTATTAGTTGATTTTTACTCAGTTGCAATGAGTTGAGCAGCATATTATAAAAAAAAAAAAAATATTGAGCATGGTTAATATAATGTCTCAAAGATGATATCTTGTTCATTGGATAATTGTTCTAAAATATTAGGAACTTAAAGAAATAAAAAGAAAGTAGGGATGAATTAATGTGATAAAGTGGAAGTGAAGGCAAAGATACCTTCCTCCTACCCGGCTAAATGTACGGACTTGTTTCAAATATCTACTGCTTAATAATAATAAATCACTCCTTAAAACAACCGTAATTTTATCATTATGATCCACTGTTGGGGGGGTGGATAAAGTCAGCTATGTGGGTTTTGATCAAGGTACCTCATGTAGCTGCAATGACTGGGACTGGATCATCTGAAGTCTTATTCACTCACTTATTCATTCACTTCTGGTTCTAGATCTCAAACTCTGAAGGGCTGGAATAATTGGGCTCCTTGGCCATTTTTCCCCCCCCATGATCTCTTCATCCTGGCAGTTTTAAGGTGATCACATGTCTTTCATGAAAGCTCAAGACTTGAAAGGAATGAGTCCCAAGATAGAGAACGTTTATGGAAGCTTGTTAACCCAGCCTTAGACAAGATACACACAAAGGCACACTCAAGTTTGTTAGATGTTGTTCAGTGCCTTCAAGTACAGTACGACTCATAGTAACCCTATGACCAAAAGATCTGAACCTTATTCTATCCTGTGCATCCTTACACTTCCTCACACAAGAGCCCATTGCAGCTGTCACCATGTCAATCCACCTGGTTGAGGGTCTTGCCTCCAAAGAGGACTACAGCTTCACCTTCTTCAAAACAGTATCTGTTTGTTCTCTTTGCTATCCATGGGATGGCTGTTCAGTGCTCTTCTCCAACACCACAGCTCAAAAGCGTCAATTCTTTTTCTGTCATCCTTATTGATTGTCCAGCTTTCAGATGCATAGCAAGTGATCGGAAAGACTATGGCCTAAATCAGATACACTTTAGTCCTTAAACTAATATCATTACTCTTCAATAATTTTGAGAGGTCCCTAACTGCAGATTTTTCCAGTATAATGCATCTCCTTATTTCCTGACTGCTAGTACCAAAGGTGTTAATTGTGGATCCAACTAAGATGAAGCTGTTGATAGTTTGAAGATCTGCTCCATCATCATGACGCTGTCTATCCATCCAGTGGTAAGAATCTTTGTTTTCTTAACATTGAAATATAATCTATACCTTTTCCTGATGAGAGAGATAGTAAAAATTTGCAAACATGTTTTAATTCAACCAGGAAAAGTGTAAAGTTATTCACTAGATTACAAATTGATTCATTGGGGTTTCCCTTTTGTGATGGTATTGTTGTTGTTCTTGTGTACTGTAGAGTTGAAACAGATCCATTGCTGACGCTCCAGCAGATTTTCAAGGTAGTTAATTGCGTGGGAGGACATTACCCCTCTGTCTCAGGCAGAGCAGCTGGTGGCCTCAAACCCTTAGGATTACAGCACAGCTTTTTGCCACTAGGCCACTAGAGCTCTCTTTTGTTATGTAGGAACTGCCTAGGTTTGACTCTCCGTCCTGACGTCTGTTATGCCTAAAACCTTGGATAAATCTTGTGCCCCAGTTTTCTTAACTGTAAACTGGAGCTGGCATAGTCTGCAAGTTATGCTGCCAAGAAAAAAAGTCCAGTGTCTCCTGCTATTGGAAAACCTCAGTTAGTCACCTCCCATTCTCTTAGAAAAATGGTTTGTCTCATTTCAATACGATATGCAACCTGCAACTCTAACATAGGGTCGTTATCCATTGGAACCAGCTCAATAGCAGTGAGGCTAGTTAAGGTTGCAGACATTGTCCAAACCACATTTAGTTGTTGTTATGTGTCTGTGTTAGTCGTCTGTGACTATGCACAATAGCTCTGAACCCTGTCCTATCTTGAGCCAAGTTCACTGTCTCTGACACACCTAACCCCATTATCCCAGTTTACAAGCGCACTTCCTACTTCACAGTTATGTTATTCCACGTCTGTTGTGTGAATCAAATGAAACTATCATGTTCACTCTAGTTATTAAAACCAAGGCAAATTTTACAATGTTCATGCTTGTTATTAAATATGTTAGATCTGGAAAGTCAGCATTTCCCAAAATGAACCTAACACAGCGGCACACTGAACTACACATTGTTCCTAATAAAGAATGGAAACCTAGTTGAGAATACGGAGATCAGATTTAACAAGTATTTAAAATGCATAAAAAGACCAGGTATCCCTAGTGCAGAGAGTGGGACCTCGATCACCTCTTTTTGTTTGCAGAACGAGAGTGTTTATCTTTTCCTGGAAAAGCAATCCACAGCTGTGGGAGATCAGAGTTCTCCTTGGAGAAGGCTGGCTCTCTGAAGCGTCCCCTGGGGCCCTGGCCGGATGCAAGGTGATGACAGTCTTTCCGAGTGTCCCCCGTGTGATCTGTTTCCCTTGGAGTCCTTTTCGTCACCCTTAGCTCTCTGACTCCCTGAGTCACTTTCTGCTCCTCCTTCTCCTCTATCGTGCCAAACTGGGGAGATTCTGGAGCGCCCAGCTTCCCAGCCCGAGCAAAACCCGGAGAGGTGGAATCCCCCGCTTGGAGCGCCCCGGCGGCCACTGGGCATGCTCCGTCGTCAGGCAGGTTCCCGGCCGCGAAGAGCGGGAGCGCCGCTCGATTCCACCCGCAGCCGCGCGTCCTCAGCGCGCGCACCGAGCGGGTGCATGATGGCGGCGGCCACGGCGGGGAGCGCCAGCGGCGGCAGCAGTGGGGGCAGAGGCGGCAGCAGCAGCAGCGACACGTCCAGCACTGGAGAGGAGGAGAGGATGCGGCGCCTCTTCCAGACGTGCGACGGCGACGGGGACGGCTACATCAGCAGGTAGGCGAGGAGGCGCGGTAACCGGCTGGGGCTGGACCAGCCCCACCGTGCAGCCCTTGACCCCTCCTTTGCACCCTTCGACCAACTTCCAGCAAAGTTGCTCAGAAGCTCATGGGGAAAGTTGGCAGGGACTCTGGGATGGCGTCACCGGCTGGGCCACCGGAGCCCAGGGGCAGCTCCTCTCGCCTTTGGAGGTGCCAGTTGGTCCAACTTTTGCCAGCGTTGTCTTTGTCTGGGTATTAGGAGGTATCTCTTGAGATGCAAGTCTTTCTTTTGCAATCTACTAAGGGGGACCCGGGGATCTTGGACATAAGAAATCTTCCTCTAGGGAAACGAATTAAAAGGCTGCTCCACAATGTCCAGATCTGGGTGTCAGGATGCTGTCTCTCCTGACAGCGATGTGTCCAGCTCCTCCATAGACAGCCCCAGGGTCAGACAGAGGGAAGGATGTGCGCTCATTGACAGCACATTGACAATTATCTCGACACACAGTCCCTGGATTCCAAACTTCATAACCTAAAGGATGGCTTAGTTTGACACTCAGCAGGGTTTGGTTTTGTTTGGGGTTTGCTTGTTTGTTTGTTTCCGCCCGCTAACCTGAGGGGGAAAGGTGCTCAGGCACAAACTGGGGATTTGAAGGTAAGTCTAGAATATAGAGTTTCTTCCCTACTCCAATTCGGTCCACTAACCATGTGAGCCTTTAGAAGTGTGTTGCCGCACGACTGTGCCACCACGTAGACTCTCTGGGGCGGTAACTTTCAAAATCTGTTCCAGAGGCAGTGTTGCTGCTTTCTACCCCAGGCTTTTGCAGAGTTTGACCAAATAATCTCTAAACAAACAAGCTAAACCCATTGCTGTCGTCCAGTCAATTTTCACTCATAGCGACACTATGGACAGAAAAGAACATAATCTTTAAAGGAACAAAGAGGCCATTCTTTTATCCTGCAAAAGTTGCAGAGTTTGAATTCCCGACCTTTGTGTTAACTACTCCTTAAATGATTAATGTTGCCTAAATTTTTACATAACTTTCTTAACATTTTAAACACTGATAGTGAAGTAGGCCGCTGCGATATTTGTGGTATACTTCTAAGAAAAGTTGACGCAGGACACTCAAGACAATAAGTACTGATACAGTTTTCATTGATCTCAATGAAGTAAGACAGCTGAAATTTTGCATTGTATTTGTTTGGGTGATGGTAGAGAATCTGTCTGGAAATTAGGGTTAGGTCTTTCTCCACCTTGCAGGTAGATGTATTTTCTCCACCTCTCAATTAAAAAATAAAAAAATATCCAAAACATATTTATCTAATATGTATCGGGCAATTTGACAATCTCATTTTTTGGTACATCCAATTGTGATAACACTTTGGATTTTATTACTTTTATAACATTTCACTGGGAAATATTAGTTGTTGTTGTTATGTGCCATCAAGTTGCTTGTGACTCATAGCAACCCTATGTACAACAGCCCAAAACCCTGCTCTATCATGTGTCAATCTCACTGTCTCCAACACAGCCACCTCCATTACCCAGCCACTGAATCAATCCACCTCATAGAGGGTCTTCCCCTCCCGTGCTCCCAAGCATGACATCCCTCTCCAAGGACTAGTCCTCATTGCAACATGTCCAAAGTGTGTCAGACAAAGCCCCAGAATCCCTGCCTTCAGGGAGCAGCCTGGTTTAATCCTCTCCTGGATAAACCTGTTCATTTTCTTAGCAGTCCATGGTACATTCAATACTCTTCTCCAGCACTGCAGCTCAAAGGTATAAATTCTCTTTTTATCCTTCCTAGTATTGTCCAGCTCTCTGATGCATTGCAAGTGATTGCAAAAACCACAGCATGTTCAGGCACACCTTAGTCTCCAGAGTGACACCATTGTTCTTCAGTACTTTGAAGAGGTCCCTAACAGCAGACTTTCCCGTCATGATACGTCTTTTAATTTCCTCGCTACTGGTGCCAAGAGTGTTGACTGTGGAGCCAAGTAAACTAAAGCTGTGACTAATCAATATCTTCACCATCCATCCTGATGCTGCCACTTGTCCCACCAGTGAGAATCTTTGTCTTCTTGATATTGAGCCTTAATCCATAGTGAAGGCTGCAGTCCTTGACCCTCTGAAGCAAGAGCTTCAGGTCTTCCTCCGTTTCAGCAAGCAGGGTTGTGTAATATGCATAATGCAGATTGTTGATGCATCTTCCACCAATCCTCATGCCACACTTCTCCTCATACAGCCCAGCCCCCTGGATAATCTGTTCTGCATATAAGTTGAAAAGGTATGGAGATAGGACACATCCCTGGAGTATTAGAAAGATACTTTCAAAATGTAATTCCAGTTGGCCCTACACATCGATTTTCTCCCGAAGACTTTTTCTTTTTCCAAGTCTGGGATTAAAAACATATAGTTTGGATAGTTTGTTGTTTTTCTACTTTAAAATCCATAACTTGATAATAAATGAAATCTATACTTTCCAAGCTGTTGTTGTTGTTATGTGCCGTCGAGTCGTCTGCGACTCATAGCGACCCTATGTACAACAGCCCTAAACGGTGCTGTATCCCGTGCCAATCTCATTGCCTCCGACACACCCATCCCAATTACCCCAGTCACTCAATCAATTCACCTCAAAGAGGGTCTTCCCCTCCTGCGCTGTTTTCCACTCTACCCAGCATGATGTCCCTCTCCAAAGACCTGTCTCTCCTTACAACATGTCCAAAGTATGTCAGGCGAAGCCCCAGAATCCTTGCCTCCAAGGAGTAGCCTGGTTTAACCCTCTCTAGGATGAATCGGTTTGTTTTCTTTGCAGTCCATGGTACATTCAATACTCTTCTCCAGCACCACAGCTCAAAGGCGTCAATTCTCCTTCTATCCTCCCTAGTCATTGTCCAACTCTCTGATGCATAACAAGTGATTGCAAAAACCATGGCCTGTATCAGGCCCACCTTAGTCTCCAGAAAGACACCGTTGCTCTAGGGTGCAAAAAAGATTTTAACTCACATGGTAATAGTTCACATGAAATAAGCTGGCAGAGTTCTTTTCCCTTCTGGCCTATAAATGTATAATTTTATCGAAACTGTGCCATCTGTATATAATTTTATGCAGTAGATATATTTATCTGGAAGGATAATGAGTTTTGTAAGCAAAATGTGCTTACCGTTTTGGAGGTAGAGGCTTTGTACCAAAAAAAGAATGGACAGAAGTGGAAAGAGCAGTTTAACATTCCTTGAACCACATCACTTTAATAAAAAGCTATTGGAAAGTTGAAAAGTATGTGCAGCCATAACTTTAATAGTCAGTGAAATTGCCCTGGACATTAATTTATTGTGCCAGAGTTCCTTATAGTAGTGTAGGAACGATAATCTCATTAGAAAAAAAGCACCAAGGATTTTGTGTTTTTATAGTAAGTACAATTTGCCTACAATGTATATGGTATAGTGAACCACTGCCATCAAGTCAATTCTGAGTCACAGTTACCTTTTAAGATAGTCAAACTGCTTCATGGAGTTTTCTGAGGCTGTTTTTATGGAAACTGCTTCATCTTTGTCTAGCAGAGAGGCTGGTAGGTTTGAACCATTGACCATTTGGTCATCAGTCCAGTGGAAAACCTAAGCAAGGTTTGAATCATTGACCTTTTGGTCATCAGTCCAAGTGACCAACCTAAAACATTATCAGGGCTCTATAGTTAATGAATAAACCAAAGAACCTAAATCCATTGCCACTGAGTAAATGAAAACTCACAGTGATCACCTATTGATTTCTAAAGTTGTACCTCATTATAGGAAGAGACTACCCATCTTTCAAAAATGACTAGGATAGTACATAAACAGAGAACTGCCAGTAGTTCAAGATGAGTTTAGAAGAGCCTGTGGCGCCAAGGATATTATTGCTGATGTCACATAGATCTTGGCTAAAATTAGAGAATATCAGAAGAATGTCTATTTGTGTTTTATTGGCTATGCAATGACATTTCACTGTGTGGACTGTAATACATTATAGCTAACTTTGAAAAGAATGGGAATTCTAGAACACCTAAGTATGCTTACACAAAATCTGTTCCAAGACCAAAACGCTCTTGTATAGAAGAAGGGAACACTTCATGGTTCGAAATCAAGAAAGGAATGCACCAGGGACATATTCTTTTTTCGTACCTATTCAATTTGTATGCTGAGCAAATCATTTGAGAAGCTGGACTTTATGAACATGAGTATGACATCAGGATTGGAGGAAGACTCATCAGCCATCTGCATTATGTAAATGACACAACCTTGCTTGCTGAAAATGAATAGGACCCGAAGTGTTCACTACAGAAAATAAAGAACAATAGCCTTCAATATAGATTACATCTCAACATCAAGAAAACAAAAGTTCTAAACTTGAGTTGATAGCAACATCATGATAGAGAAAAGATTTAAATTGCCAACAATTTCATCTTCCTTGGATTCATACCCTTTGGTACCAGCAGTCAGGTGATTGGGAGATGTATACTGTTGTTGTTTTGTGCCTTTGAGTCGCTTGTGACTTATAGTGACCCTATATTCAATAGCTCTGAACTCTGTTCTATCGTGAGCCAACCTTATCATCTCTGACACACCTACTCCCATTATCCTAGTCATGGAATCATCAAGGGTTTTCCTTTCTTGCACGTCCCTCCATGCACCTAAGCATAATGTCTCTCTTCAAGGACTGGTTCCTCCTTGCAATATGCCCAAAGTATGTCAGAGGAAGCTTCAGAATCTTTGCCTTCAAGGAGCAGCCTAGTTCCACCCTCTCCTAGGATGAAGCTGTTTGTTCTCCTGGCAGTCTATGGTATATTCAATATTTTTCTCCAGCACCACAGCTCAAAGGCATCAGTTCTCCTCTGTGGTCCCCAGTCATTTCCCAGCTTTCTGATGCATAACAAGTACATGGCCTGCCTGGATCAGGCTCACCTAAGTCTCCAGACAGATACAGTTGCTCTTCAGTGCTCTGGAGAGGTCCCTGACAGCAGATTTTCCCAATCCAATTCA